AAAACACATTTTCATCAAGCAAAAAAAGCGAAAACAATCACCAAGTAGATTGGAGGAGACCCCAGATGACCTCGGATCTTGGTTCCCCCCTCCCCTCCCCCCCCGTCTTCACGTCTTCCTGCGTCGGTCTTGCCGGCTCGGAGGGTGGGCATGGAGTTCGCATCCATGGCATCTGGCCAGTCCTGGCAACGGGAGGCGGATTTTGTGGATCGGGATAGCGCTGAGCCACCCAGTGAGGTCCTGTTTGGGGAACATGTAACTTGGCCCTCTTTTAACAAGAGGAACCAAGCTTACATGTTCCCTAAACAGGACCTCATTGGCTTGCTCTGAGCCTCTAGCTACATGATCGACCCCCTCTGGAAAACTGGTTCCCCTTCTCGACCAATTTTTGACCTCAACCCTCAAACCCTTTGGCGTGCCCCAAAGTCGTCGGGCGATTTCCGGTGTCAGGCTCGACGTACCCTTGTTTCAGGCTCAAACATTCCTGTGTACCCTTTTTGTGTGGGGTTTACGGGAAACCAACGAAAGCAACCGCAAATATGTATAGGGTCCGCTATTCTAACACACCCAGCGCGAGCAATTTGGGTTTTGGAGATACGGGCGTTATAATATACCAGTATATACTGCATATGTTGGCAGTTTTTGAAACATCTAATACATCTGGGGCCCCAACCCTCTAGGAAGTCGAAAAATGAAATAATGGTTGATAATTTCATATTATAGATTTTGGAGCAGTTAAGATGCATTGCAATTACATATACATATGTATTTGTTGCATGTACCATACAGAAAAACAATGAGTGTGGTTTGGACATCGTTGAAGCATAGGTTGTATTGTGTGCCATCAATAAAAGTTAGTACTATATAGTTTGTATAAAGTTTATAATATACACTCCGGCTCCAGAAACAGCATCACACCCGCAATAGGCGAGTCCCAGAATTGGGGAGCTTCCTTTTGGAGGACACAGCACTTGTGGCCACCGATGTCAAGCACCTGTTGAATCAAGTCCGGTGCTTTCTGCAAAGAAAACTCATTTTATCGGGGCAAACACATTTTGGGCGAAGGATGGACAAACATCAATCATGCGAGGGTGCTCTGAGTTGAATCAAACTCTGGTGCACAGAAACCTCCCCTTTGCTCGCGCAATCCCAAAAAAGCCAGTGATTGTCGCAAATCAACGGTCATTCCAGTAAGCGTATCACTCCAGCAGGGTTTTGCTTGCAGGCGCGCGCCGGGGCTTCCCAGCAATGTATTTGTTTTGTAAGAGCTGCTCCCCCTTCCTGAGTGAGTGGACCGGCCAAAAAAGGCTCCCAAACTTTTGGCCAACACCACAAACAGCGCAAGTCCATTTTGCCACGGCCACAAACATGGCCCGTCTTCCCAAACAGGCTTTTCCAGTCCAATGTTACACATCCCGGCAGCTTCGGGGCTTCCCAGGTGCTCCCCAATTTGGCTGCGGCTCAAAAAAAACGGAATTCCAAAATGGCTTGCCCTGGTAAGTGGAAACATGGACTTTAAAACCTGCGGTTTGCCCCTCCTGTTAAATTTTGAGCCATACCCATTTCTAACCCAGTGGCACCCCTCTCTTTCATTGCCCAACCCATCCAAGCAAAAATCCTCCCCGCCCGCGTCGGCGCCGCTTCGGTTTGGGCAACTTCGACGAATCGATCGGCGGGATCGATCGGATTCGGATCGCCTGCCTGCCACTTCACCCCCGGTTCCGGGAGGAGCCTTTCGGGCAACGCCTCAAGCCAGGCCCATGGCACCTGGCACCGGTAGCACCGCATCGCCCCCGTTCCCCGAAGCCTCCCCACGGGGCCCGAAACGGCCCGCCCCTTGCGAGTCATCGGGCGCTCGCCTTTTGCGGGTACCTCCTTTCAAAAACAACCGAAGGGAAAACGAATCAACCATTTTGGAGGTCCGAGGTCCGCTTCATAAATCTCTGCTTACTGTCATATCACTTGAATGTTGCACTTGTGCATTGGACTCGACTTGTATTTGCAGTTTGAAGTCCCCTTGTATACGTACCAGGCGGTCCTTACCTGGACCCTCAAACGAACTATCCCGGAACATGAGATATTCCCCCCGAAACAATGGCATGAGTTTGTTGGGATGGTACCTGAGGCAGGCCAGCTTGGTTCATCATGCGCTTCCTTTTGGGGACAACTCCCTGCGAGGATTAATCCTCGTGATTGACCATCCCTGCCACCCCCCACACACCCTCTTGATCCTGGTTGTTCTGGCGTTTGGACCCCAGAGCCGCGAGGGAAGGAGGAACAAAAGGGGCCTTTTGGCCACAGCACATGGACGTTTTGGGAGGCCACTAGCATCACCCACCCACGAGCGTAACTTGAAATATCATTTGGACATCACTTACATGGGGATTTGTGGTGGGGATGAAGCTACTCGTGCCAACATCACTTGTTACGCACCCCTGGGTTAATTTCCCTGCACTCCCTTGAGGTTCATTGCAACCATCGCCTGTCGGGCTGCCGTCTGGCTTTAAATTTGAATACAGCGACCGAAGAAAGCCAGTGAAAAACAAGCCCAGCGGGTCGCAGGAAAGCCACTATACTAGACACCAACAATTACAGTATCCTTTTGGTTTTTAATGGGTGGTTCCCCTTGGTTACTTGACATATAGAGGTGAATGGAATCACTTGAAAGCACAATAGCAGGCCCTGGAAGAGAAGCCGCACGATGGTTTGCTGTTTTTCTCCCCGGGTCAATGGCTCATTGACACTGCGAAGATTCCTCATTGACTCAAGTTTCTTTCCAAGTACTCAAAAAGTATGCAATTCCCCCCCGCAAAGGACCTGAACTTGTGTACATGGGCGGTAGGCGACTGAATAGCTTGACCGAACCTCATCTGGCAACAGGTGTGCCATGCTCCAAAACTCCTAAAAGCAAACATCTGAACCGCTTGTACCTTCTTATTCAACCTAATTCCTCATTTAAACCACCCCCTGTGCAAAACACCCCTCGTCTCCACAGCTCAAATGTTGGTTGTCCTTTGAAGGGCCTGGGTTTGAGCCCTTAAAGGTGGTCATCCAAGAAGGATTCGGCTGCCAAGCCCAGAGTAAGGCTGAGCAAGTGGCCCCGAAACGACCCATGGGCAGCCTCTGGTAGCCTTTTCCATCACGACACCTCATCTTTTGGTGGTGTTCAGTGGGTTGTCTCACCCACTAACCACTCAAACGTACCGAATCGATCGCCCCTTTAAGTGCTTGCCTGTGGCAACAGAAAAGTGGGTTGAAATCAGAAGGTCCTATGATGACCATTGGACAAGATGAGATGTCCCACGTGGGAGTTGGGTCCACTCCTGGGGCTTGGCAGAATCACCTTGCTTGTGCGGCTTGTGCTCAGGGAATGAGGGAATGAACCGTTTTGAGATGCCCTGAAAGGAAGCCAGCGGTGGGATGGTTCGTCTTGGGGTCATTCCATGTCTCCTGGGTCCTCCAGTAGAGAGGTTCGAATAAGGGTACCCCTTTTTCTCTGGTCTATGTTAGTATAGGGGAACCCTCCCACCCCAAAAAAAAGAAGTGAGAAAGGGCACCGAGGTGGGGGACCATGTCTCATTCCCTCGCATCTGGCTGTGGGTCCAAAAAAATATGTACTCAAAATGGAATCCAGGCAAATGGAAAGATGGACATTCAAACCTGCGGTCCAATTCCTGGTGGCTTAATTTTGACCCATACCGCCCATACCCATCTCTCGCAGTGATCGCCCCTTTCACGTCACGAATCCTCGCCTCAAAGGGCTGCGCAAAGCCGGGCCGCGGGGCGGCGGGCGCCACTGAGGCCATTTCCCTCAGGGTGTCCTCAGGAGAGATGGCTGGCCCGCGGCCGCGTCTTTGTTTTAATGTCCTTTTGGTGTCCCTCAAACACCCACACACAAAAAGAAAAAAAACAACAACAACAAGTTTTTTGAAGAAATGGCACAGCCACGTTTTCACCACCCGACATGGATGCGGTTCGCCTTATGGTGTCCCTTAAAAACCAAAACAAGTTTAACTTTTCGTGGGTCCAATGCAAATTCCACTGCTTCCCAAACAGTTAAAGTCCAAAGATCAAACCAAACAAACAGGAAGATAATACTTCCTGCATCTTCCTGCTTATCTTCCATGTTTCGTCTACCCCCAAACCAACTAGTTTGGAGGAGACCCTAAAATTGGACAACCAACACTCAGGATTGGCAAAAAACAGTTCAAATTGTTTGTTTGCCACCAGAATGGTCCAAACCCAACAAGTATAAAGTCCAGGAACTCAGGGAGTGAGAAAAAGATGTAAAGCCTCGATCCGCTTTGTGCGTCCTGGGCGAAATGCCTCGAGGCCTTCGAAAGTAGCCGCTGCATCGCCATCCTGAGACTCACGTCACGGGCGAGGCGACCCAAACAACGGTGCGGAGAGACGCCCGTGTTAAGGTTCACCTTGAGTCTTAGGTACATGAAGCCTAAAGATACCCTTAAAGCAAAGGAATCAGCCCAACATAATCCGATCGTAGGGTTTCCTACAGTTGAAGGTCCAAATTTGCTGATATGTGTAGTGGATATGGGAACTTCAGCGGGTTCCCTAGTGTTTTGTGCACACAAAAATCGGGAGTTTCCCAAATCCCTCCCGAGTTGAGCATCAACTACAGAAAAAAACAACACGTTCTGCTCGGCTGTCAACTCGGCGAGTTCTGCTTGACTTTCTGGATGTCGCACGACATACGGACGCCAAGTGTCTCAAGCCAACCTGTTGCTCAAACATGGTTTAACAACTTGTCTTCACACCAACTCCTTGTGATGTCCTTCTTAGGGGGGCCGGGATTTGGTTGGCTAAAGGTTGCTCAAACACTGAACATCAAAGAAAACCACTCACGCAAAGCCTGCAGCAAGGGGCCCATTGCTGCTGATGATTGTTGGTGCTTTTTGCAAAGCACCGGGCACATTGAACAGCAACTGATACAGTGAACCGAAAAATAGATGGCCCTGATAAATGGAATAAAGCCCATCTAAACCAGTGCCGTTTGTTTCTAACCAGACTAACCCAAAAATGACACCTATGCAAATGCACCTGTTTTAATGTGGCAGGGTGTTACTTCATGTTCGGTTAGAGGTTTGTAGGCTCCAGGATGTCATGTTGTGATGCCTGGCATGGGCATGTAGCCAAACATGACAGACTGTCGTACCATGGTGAATTCTGGAAGGAGTTGCACTGAAATCTGGAAACAAGACACCCCTGGCGTTGTAAAAGGCAAACTGCCCCTGTTGATCCGTTTAACACTCGCCAAACAGGAGCTCTGGTTTACAGGATTCCTTAAATCTCACAAGGGCCTTTTCAGAGTGAGGTGATGTTTGAGCCCGCAGAAAAGACATCTCCCTGTCTGGAAAGCCGGACTTCATCACTGGGTTGACTGGCTTGGTTCCCGGGGTGTCCTCGTTTTCAAACATCCGAGCGGGTCACTTTGTGGGAGTCCAATGAAACTCCGCAAGGCGCGACTTAAATGCGAGATCGATTTGCAGTGATACAAAGGGACTACTCAAGTACACGCATTCTTCTCGTATGCATCATGAGCTAGCCTGGTTTCATGGTACACAACTAGATTCCATTTGTTCAGGCCCTTGCATAACAGTTTAGGACTAAGACGAAAAGGACGTGGACGGAACACATGGATATTAGTCACAATAGACACAATACGACCCAAAACCTGCTGGTTGCGGCTCGTCCCTACCCAGAGGAACTGGGCGAGTCCAAGACCCAAGCTGCTCCGAGCTGCTCCCAGCGGCTCCCCCCGCGACCAAATGCGCTGCGTTTGGAACGGCCGGCGGCGTGGATGCTTGGCATCAAGATCAGATACGAGGGTCTCTCTCAAAATGCTGCACCCTAGTTTGCGTGATGCTGAAAGGGCAGCCAAAAGGAAACCACCCTTTTAGGCTAGCCCTTTTTTGAGAATACCCATCAATCAAGTCCACAGGACGAGAGTCATTGCAGCCTAGTATGAGCGACTCACTATCGCCCCCCTCTGTCGGCTCTATGAAAAACTGACCACGGCCAAACCCCAAGTCTTGCGCTTCCGCCACCTACCGCTCAGCGGGTGGACACCTTGACGCTCGTCCTTCAAAAAGGGCACCGCCCCCCCCCAAACAAAAAACAAAAAACACTGGGCTGACCCCACTTTTTAGGAACCTCCACGTGCACGGAACTTCCGAACATGGGGGCAGCACAGCCCCCTGATGCATAATTGGGAGAGGCACCCCCAGAACTTCAGATTGGACGTATGTGGGCCTCTCATGGTGCGGTCCTTGTAAATGGTGAACCCTATAGTGCCCCCTTAATCCTTTATCACCCCAACAGCAAAGTCACCTCACACCCCAAAGGGCGATGTTTAAACCCGAGGGAAGATGAAGGACCCTGTCAGTTTTCTCTGATCCGATGCTTGTGGGTGGCAATCTCGCCAGAGAGTGGATGCAAGATTAACGCCCTCAAATGGGTCCAAAAAGGCAGCTGCCAACTCGCAGAAGTCTCGTTAAACTCAGGCTGGACCCACTTCTTAACAAGTTCTAATTTTCACAGGTTCCGATCGTCGCAAGCCGGACTCGAACTCATGGGTCATCCAATCAACCACTGAAATCGGTGAAAGGGGACTCCTTTCCACAAGACGGGGCGACACCACGAGTCTCGTCATCGCGTGAAACACATTGAAAGGGACTCGAGCGACAGTGCGTCAAGCTGCAGAAATCACACTCATGGCCCTGGGGTTGCCCTAACAATTGAGTGTTTTCTGTTTTGGGGGAACCCCTTTTTGATTGGTTTTAAAGGGAAACCAAATGGCAACCATTTCTGGGGGATCCAACCTTAAAAACACACACACACGCACACAGACACACTAGAAGGGTGGAATTTAGATGGAACCCCATTTCCTTCAAAAGAGGATGGACGTTCAACCTGAATAAACCGGTTGCCGTCTGCTTTCTCCCAGCTTTTTATGGACTAAAACAAATTGCCATCTACTTTCACCCAGCTTTTTGCGCAATAACGGCGATTTCACCATGAAGCTTGGAACACAAGGAGTTGGATGAATTTTGTCATGGGTCCTAGGCGAGTCCTAGGAATCTTGGACCATGCTCATCGCAAGGCCTCTGATGCTCCTCGAATTCCAAGTTCATCCCGAAGCCTGGCGTTTCAATGAGAGAGATACGACCCCTGACCCACAAGACACCCAGGAGGAGACAACAGAAGAATCCCACGAGACCTAACTGGACGCCCCAGTTTGGCACTACGCATGTTGACCTGTGTCACAACCCGGCTGAGACTCTTTCGGTCGGTCCAGCCAGGTCAAAACTTTGTTTCAAGCGAATGTCCCTGGCCGCCCTATTCTAGAAACGGCTTCAAAATAAGGAATCTGTGGCTCCCCTGTAGACTATCAAAGGAAAAACAATATTAATTACCCCAAAAAAGGCCCCACCTGCGGGAAGAACCAGAAGAAAAAAAACAAGAAAACAAACAACAAAAACAGAAAAACAAGTAAACACGCGTCCAAGCTGCGGCCGCACGGAGCCTGAAGAACTTCCCCCGCCCTGATTTCGAAGAGGCAACAACAATCCCCAGTGAAGCATGCCAGTTGAGAAGCCCATGTTCAAACAGCCCCAAAGAACATGGGTCATTGTGTCAGGGTTCCCTTGAATGGAACGCTTGCAGTATTTAATCTTAGTATTATAATATTGTGTACATATATATGTATATATACGCTAAAGCATTGTGTTCATAGAAAGTTTAACCATCTTGCAGTAATCATTAGAATGACGTGAAACATATGAATTGATATGAAGCATATGTTAATGTATATTATATATGTATACATATATATATATATATATATATATGTGTGAAGGAGACGACTGACTACTTAACGGGATCAATAATAACTTGTTGATGGCAGGGACTGTCTTCTGCCGTCTAAACAATCCGCCCCGTTGGGATTGTCCCTAGCCATCCACCCGCAGCGGTTCTGATTGTGGCTCAAGGGGCACATTGGGTGTGCTTTCTTGAGGGCACCCCATTTTTTGGCGGTGAAGGGAAGCCAACAGGAAAACCGAATACCACAAAAAGACACACCCATGGACACCGGTGGGTGTGACAACCATTTCTGGGAAGTTCCGAGTCCTAAACACACCCAATTCAACTCAATGACTCGCCAAAAGCACGCGCCTGGCAGCGCGAAAAGCTCGGGGCAGATGCCCAGGCATTCCGCCTACGAGAAAACCATCGCTGGACTGCGAAGGCCGGAGGTGAGTCCTGGCCCAAACCCTCCAACTAGCCCCCAAAACACGGGGAACCCAATTTTTTGGGGGGGGGCGATCTCTGGCGCTTAACTTCCAGTTGCGAACCCGTGCCCTGGAAAAAAGGTTCTGACATATGTCCAGTAGCGACAGATTCCCTTCACAACCAACAGGGCTAACATAATCTTCAGCAAATGGAAAATACAGGTACAGAAAAGAAAAGCTTTGGGGGAACCACCAGTTGGATTCCGGCTGCCAAAATCGTGATCTGGAGCCGCAGGGATGGATAGGCACCGCAGCCTCCAACTCTGAAAGAGAAACATCTGACTCACCTGCTGTGCGAACATGTCTTCGGGGAGCCCTGAAACAGGCTACTCAGTTGCCCAATCTTGACCAAACAAAAGGTGAGCATTTTGCACATTTTCGGGGGGCACTCAACATGGGACCCACACATGGGAAAACCGAAAGGTCGGATAGGGTCGATTCGCCGCGCCTCCAGCGATGTCGCGTGCTCATTGGCACGTGCAATTGCCTGGCACCAAAGGTAGCGAGTGAAATCAGGGAGCCAGGGAGCCCCATGTGGCGCTTGTTTGAAGAAACCCAGGACGAATCAACTCCAGCAATTACCTCTCTTTGAGGTACTCACAGTTGGGACCAGTTCTATCTGAGCATGCAGCAAATCCGCGAATTCACGCGGAAGTGTATGCTTGAACCGGCCGTCGCTCCGAGGCAAACCATCACCTTACCCCTCACACCTTACCCCTCATTGGTGTTTTGTCGATGACAACTCGTTTGAAACTGACCGCCGATGTTTCTCAAGATGTTTCCAGCGTCCCGTTCCTAACATGGCGGATCCAGCACAAATCTCAATGAGCAAAGGTTGTCCTAGCCGCCTTAGCCGTCAATGCCCAACGCGACCCCCCTGGGACGCCCCTCAGCTGGCCAGGGCCATCTCCCCGCCTTCAGCGACACCGGCCGAAAGGATCCGACTTCCAGGACGGTCATGGCGCGTGGTTCTCTTCGCGGACTCCCAGGTCCGCCAAAAGCAAAATACGCGGAGCAACAAAAACGCGTATCGTTCGGACATGTTCCGTGACGGATTGGATGTGAAAAAGTTGAAAGTGCCAAATCTTTGGCTTTGCAAGTGCGAGCCGAGATGGCTGCAACCGTTTCGCTGTGAGAGAAAGGAAAGATGGAATGAACACGCCATGTGAGACATAGTCAAAACCTGGTATGCAAGGGGTCTGCCCAAAGCGATGCAAACAATCAAAAGAGCACAAAGGCGCTCCCCTATATACTACAAACCTGCATCCACCCATGTTCTGATTGGCTCAATGTAGTTCATGATTTCCGGTGCATTTGGACCCCTTTCTCCAACATGCTCTTCAGCTTGAGTCCACCCAAACCCTCCAACTAGCCCCCACAACACTCTAGCTTTAACTTCCATTTGCTTATACACATTTTTAGCGGAGATAGACTCCCTTTAAAATCAAAGGCTGCTTGAATAGGTCCATGAACACATGGCCATTTTGGACCCTTTCATGGCTGATGTCCCATAATAAAGCCACGACTAAGGGTCAATTAACCCATAAACTAGGGGTTCATAGGGGGATCATATATATATATATGGACGTATATATTCCGCCTTTGCTTAAAACCAACACAGGGAACAAAACATGTCAAGCACATGGAAGTTAAGCTCTTATTTTTTTGGTAGAGGCACTCGGGGCGAATTCGATCTCTACCCGAGCTTCGAGCTATGTACAGAACTCTGGAGGCTGTTGCCGAGCCAGGAACTAGTAGACAGTCGCCCGCTTCCCTTCAGATCCCAAATGCCAATATGGGTGTCTCGTGTTTTTCTTCTTTTTATATAAAGGGCAAACCCCAATTTTAGGGTCCCTAATTTTACCACACACATAGAGTAGCTAACCCTTCGCCATTTTCCTTTTGGGGATCCAAAGGGTTCCGTTATCTGTGAAGGGAACTGGAATCACTGGGCTTTATATAGCAGTAACTAGAAGCACTGTAGGGTTAGGCGCCATCTGGGGGGCCCCCAGAAGATCTTTTTCGCTCTTTGCGCTTCCATTTTGACAGAACTGTTCGGATTCCAGCAACAGAAGCGAGCCTTCCTGAGCCCTGGTCAACTCATATGTCTATATCTATTCATCTGTTGCCAGGTTGTTTTTCTCCACCAAGAGGGGAACAAAAAACAGCCCTGTTGGTCAAAGGAACCACCCTCGAGGCGATGAAAAGGGAGTCCAATCAGCTGTGATCATCTCAACTGATTGTGGGCAGATGGAACCCTACAGGGAGGGCACCGTGGGAAAGCATTCAGTACCCCGCAAATGCTTGCACCAGTAGAGCAGCATCACGGATACGCTGGCTGCCGCCAACATGCAGCTTCCCACCACATCAGAGGCCTTGGGCGCAAACAAGGGGGGGGAAGGGGGAGGGAAAAAACGGGACAAAACAGAACAAGATGGCCCAAAAAAAAGGTCAAACTTCTTGTTTGCCACCAAATTGGTCCAAACTCCAAAAGTCACAAAGTCCGTGAGGGCGGGGAGTGAGACAAGAACCAGACGCGCGCCAAGGTGAAATTCTTCGATCGCCGAGCTCGTGAGTTTTACTCATGCACCCACCCAATTTCCCTATGAAAGGACCCTCCCCCCAAAAAAAAGAAACAAAAGAAGAACGATGGGAGTTGGCGTTTTGGTCTTAAACCAACCTGAAAAGGGGACTCAAAGATGGGAATAGACTTCACAAAAGGTCGACGTACCCCTTCGCCTAGGAATAACCCTCACGAGGAAACTATGTGGCCTTAAGCACACGCAACTTCATGGCTTTTTAGGCATGCGTGGAAACTCATGAGCTTGTCTTTTTATGCATACGCAAACCTCTTACATGCAAACCCATGGCTCAGAACAGCTATGCCATGCGTGCCATTGCGCGCTCTAACAGGTCACCGGGCGTTGGGTCCGGGCCACCTGAACCCCCCCCCCCGGCTTTATAAAGGCATCACATGCCCAGAATGGTTGGAGGTAGAAACTTCCCAGCTGCGGGGTTCGAACACCCAGGTCGGGCACTTTCGCGTGTGCCGAGAACGGGTAAGGGGCATCACTTGAATTTGGGTGTGCCATTTTGAGGGTACCCCTTTTTGGAGTTGTTTTAAAGGAAAACAAAAGAAACCCACTGTTCGTCTATGTGCCACGAGAAACCAAAGGCCACCTCCATGTTGCGGCGCCCCATTTTTTTACACAGATTCATTTGAGTGTGTCCTTTGATGTCCTTTGATTTGAGTGTAGCCCTTTGAAGTTGTAAAGGGACACCAACAAATGAACACCACCCATTTATTTATTTGTGTGTTTTGTTTATATTTGTTTTGTTATGTGTTATTTTTCGGGGGCGGGGCGGCGTGTCCTAAAAACTTGCTGGTGCTCAGTCGGGAATGTGGGAACCCAGGGGTCCCGTAAAGGAAACCACCCGTGGGATGGTTTTTAAGGGGTCATTCCATTTCTCATTCCCTGCATCCCTCGCACCGATCGCAAAAAAGAAAGCCCATGTGTCGCGCCGGGGCGCGAGGCCAACTCCGCCCTCGGGCTCTGGGACCATTGCGAAGAGGTCGAGCTTCGACGTCGCCTTGGACGAGTTCGGAAGCGCGTAGAGCGCCGTGGAGTTCAGCGCCGTGGAGTTCAGCGTCTTGGGTCCGGTGGATGTGGGCGTGGCTGTCGTCGCCACTGTCGCCACCTGGGGTTGACAATACGCTGGATGCCCTAAATGCTTGGCAAGTGAGGGAGCAATGTGACCCTCTGGTTTGCCGCAAATTTCCAGATGGTTGTGTGGTGGAGTATGATTTGTTTGCTTGCAATGTTGCTTCTGAAGCCGCGATTTTCCGAGGGTCTTTTGGCATTCTTTCGAGGACTGTGCCCCAGACCAGTGGATTTCCATGGGAAAACTCCTCCTTAACTTTCACCCACCCCAGTGGCTCACCTGGGGCGCTGGGTATCCCACCTGCCCGGATCCCGCCGTGTCCTTCTTTGGGCGCCAGCAAGCCGATAAAGGCGCATGAGGACACTGCACCTCGCCGGTGTGCTGCTTTTCTTTTTTGCAAGGGCCTGCGGAAATTGGGGGCCCTGGGTGCTTTGTGTTGTTAGGTTTACCCTTCAACATGGAAAATCGATAAAATTGGTGGGCGATTCCCCTGCTTGTGGGGGTTGCCACAGCCCACACCATCGCCATTTGGTTGCCCCTTGTTGGCTGCTCATTTTAGAAATCTCCATGTTCCTCCGCGGCTTGAAGAATTTGACTTGCGTTCCTGCCAAATCAGTCCGTGCAACCTGGTCAGAAACATGTAACATGAGGCCGAGACAAAACCCTTTTCTTGAGCCATGGTCAAAACTCCTTTGTCTGTGCTTCCAGTCCAGCTCGGTCATGTTGGCGTAACTGGCTGGGACAACCCTACCAGCTGCACAGCTATGTCATCAACCTATGAAGTCCATGACCCGGCCACCTCCAGTGTCAACAGCTCCTTGCTCCACCCTTGTCTGCCCTCCGCCAGCTTCCGAGACACACATGGATGCGCCAGAATGGCCGGCGAAACCATCTGCACGGAGTTGCGCGGAAAACGCACTGCCGTCAAAATGGCCAAGGGATCCAGGCGCCCCCAATGTCGTTCGTAGGTCAGCCAGCAACTGGACCACACTGATCCAGCGGACTAGCAACGGCCGCTAAGATTTCAGCTCTGCCAACCGTCTGAATGATGCCTGGAATCGCCACCGCCTCAGCACCCGCCTCTGCTGCAACAACAGTCATAGCCCAAGCAGCAAGCCGCACCAAACCCATCCGTGAACACGTCCCAGGCATGAAAGTGGACCCACCCGGGAGGCGTTAGCATTGAAGACCGCTTTATTTAGAGGACACCTGAGACGGGAGAGTCACACAAGTACAAGTCACACGAGCTGGTGTCATCCACTACACGCACATCTGCATCCAGAGCAAGTCGGCGAACAAGCAGGACCGGTAACGGTCCACGGCCTTTGACAACTCCTCGTGAACTCTGACAGCTGCCCCACCACTTGCGACCTGCCCATGTTCTCAGTTGCGACCTGCGAATCACTTGCGGCCTCCTCCATGACTTGCGACCTGCCCAAGATCACTTGCGACCTGCCCATGTTCTCGCTTGCGGCCTGTCGTGGGCAGACAAGTAGGGTGGTGGGGGTGGGGGCGGGGGCATGCTTCAGCCCAATCTTCTCTTTCACAGGGGGGAGGGCATGATAAGCAAACCCGCTCAACTGCTTCAGCCCAGTGGGGCATGATACGCACACCCGATCCTCTCTTTAAAACGGGGAAGGCAACCAATTCCACGCAGAAGCGGAGGCTTGCTCTGTTGCAGGACTTGTGGGTTTGGTTGAGGCGGAGCTTTTCTCCGTACTGACACAAACTCTCCGCCGTCAAGCAGGCGTACAATGTTTGGATACAGCATAGTGTTGCTACCTTTTGCTAGCTTTCAGGCGCTCCGATCAGGGGCTGCAAGGGTGTTGGGATTGGCCGTAGTGGTGCTCAGCCACTGGCCATGGTGGAACTTGTGAGCTGCGTTTTTTCTCGCTTGTGACTTGGTGTTGTTTTCGCTTGTGACCATGCATCCATGCGCCCACGCGCACGCGCTGCTCGCACAGGCACTCATCACGTACCCACCCGCAGACCCATGCACCTACCGAAGTGTGAGTGCATTGGGGGACCAGGTTTTTGGGTCCACGTATATGCTGGTAAAAACTATTTTTCCGGGGTTTCCCCTGTTAGGAGGATGAACCTTGGGGGACTAGTTTTGCCGGGGCCTAGTGAGCGCAAAACCCCTCTCAGAAAAATCGTTGTTGTGCATCTACGCAGACAGTATGGCTTTCAGCGCGTCTGTCTCTTTGCCTGTTGCCGCTGCCTTGTCGTTTGTCGTTTGTTATCCTGCTTCGGCTGCTACTGTAGGGCGCGCAAGTGTTCTGCAGAACCATTCCGTGCTCTCTCAGTTTCTCTTGCCCACGCTGGTCCAACCAGGCGTGCCCTCGCCCCCCACCCCACCAGCAATGAAAGTTGTCTAACATGCCTACGAGGTTGACCATCCATACTCCAACAACCCACAATATGAGGTTTGGGGTTGGACAAAAACGGTCCCTACAGCGGTTCCTATATAGCTGGGTCTTCACATTGGGGGACCCCCAAAATTACTTGCTTACTTTTGGTTCCCTAAAAGAAAGGTGCCCTCAAAAACAGACATACCCATAGTTACCCAATTGCTTTGTTTGTTTCTAATGTTGGCCGCTCCGAATTGCTCAGTTCGGGGCAAGTGTTTGGTTGCAGACTACTTACGGGGGCCTCTGACCCCCAGATCGTTTTAGCGGTTTCTTGTACTGACTCCCGTCCAATTGTTGTTGGGGGATTGCCCCTTCGTTCAGTGACCCACATTCCCCACGATAAGCACGAACATTGCCTTCCCAAGAAGTGTCGAAAGTCCAGGAACCCACAAGAAACCAGTGAGCAAGAGAAACCAAAGTGACTAAAGTCCAGGAACCCACAAAAAAACCAGTGAGCAACAAAAACCTGGCATGGTAGGGGTCCTTCCATCTCACTCCTAACCAGCATGCTGCCCTCTAGGGGCCGGGCACTGCTCTGAACGGAGCCGCACAGGTCTGAGCGAGCGCGTGTGAGCTTATGTCTAGCTCTCACATGCCATCTGGCTTGGCGCTTGGCGCGCGCTTGGCGCGCCCTTCAGTGGTCTTGGCAAAAAACAAGTCAACCCAAACTGTTTGCGGTCAAAGGGTCGCCCAACAAGTCATATAAGGTTCAAGAACTTAGGGAGTGAGCCTGCTTCAAGAGATCAGGTGGACCCCCTACTCACACGGAGATTCGAATGTCTGCAGGGTTTGTCAGTGTTTTCCATTTTTGTTTATTGTTTTTGTTTGGGGGGCTCATGCTAACTTGCAGAGGAGTAATGTAACCCCGCATGAAGCAGAACCCTGGCTTGAAGAGATGGGGGGGTGTCCCCTTTTAGTGGAAATTCGCCTCACTTTTGGAAAACAACACCCCCAAAAAGGACGCATGTTTTCATGCGGAATCAATATTGGCTATCGGCCTCACAATTTTCGGGCAACACCTCCTGTTTAAGGGTAGGTTGAGGAGGGCGGGGATTCTTTTCTAATTCCACCCTTTTACAACATGGGGATCCTTCCAAATTGAAAACCAAGCCGTGTGAGGTGTAACTGGTTGGGCCCTGAGCGAACATCATTCGGGTTTGGGTTCTGTCCGATTGGATGGCTAGAGAAAATTCTCAGCTGAGTAGTGGTGAAAGGCGAACACAGTTCTGATTCCGAAGGAATGCGGGGAAGACCAAAAAACACGATTGAACCCTTGCCTGCCTTGTGCTAAATTGCTTTTGGTCACCCCCTTGCACCACTACTATGACCCATGGGATATGTTCACCAGGCTTGCTTCAGAGTTACTCAATCGCATGATTTCGAGTCGCCAAAGGAAGGTAGGCTAAGGCGGAAAATCCATGTCGGTGCCAATGGACAAGCAACAAGTCGGATGTGTCAAGTGAGCAGCTCCCGTTTCACCTATTCGCCCTTTGTTGATGCCATTGGTGTCAGGATCCCTGAGACCGCATCCCAGAACTTTCAATCCTGGAGATCTTGGCGCTTTTGTCGACCTCATTTACCCCGGGGGGGGGGGGGGGCGGGCGGGGCTAAACCTCATTTAGTAGACAGAAAAATCCCCCTCTGTAGATTTCGCAGAGGAGGAGTTTGGGTCTGCCAAACCATTTTGAGAGTTTCCAGTGGAGAACACGGACAAACAGGTCCACCTTCCAGGACTTCAAAACAAAAGCTCCACATGAATTGTAAAATGATTTCCTTTTCGTATCAAACAACGTTTCCAACAACTGCTCTTTTGGTGTGGTTTCCTTTGGTTGGTTGCATCTATGTCTCCATCACCGATCCCTACACGGGCACCCGCCCAAACCTTCGAGAGCCTATCGGTCGCCTGGCACGCTCATCCGCAGCGCGAACATCTGCGGCCACAGCTTCCCGGTGACCTCGGGAAGGAGAGCTTCGAAGCGCCATGCCCAGATTTGTGTGGCGTTTTTTGGGGGTACCCCTTGAATTCCGTGGCTTTGACAGGGAAACCAACAGGAAACCCAAAACCACTTTGGGGGGTGCCGAAAAAAGGATGAGCCATGGGCAACTGGACTCTGTCGGACTCAGCGAGCGGCCAAAAGCACATCCTCCCCCAGCATCGCCGAGTAGGCGATTCCTGACGCAGCCCGCACCAAGAGCGGTGTCTCAATCCACCCACCGAAATGGGCGCGTGCATTCGTCGGTGTATCTGTCATTTCTTGGGTTGGTTTAAAGCGGGCACATACAAACATGTGGCACTATCCAATGGGTCCAATCTGCACGCGTAGTTTCCGGGTCCAAGCAAACAATTGTCGGACTGGAAGGGTTGGCTGGTAATGGCAGATAACCCAGCAGGATAATGGTTTGTGATTTGACTGTGAGAGGGTAGCCCTTCCATGAGTGTGTGTGTCTTGAAACCACAAGAACACCCCTTCCTCTGCAGTCCTTCTATGTTGACACATGGCCGTGGCTCAAAAAGTGGTACTACAATGGCAGCTTGGTAAATGGAACTAAAGACTAAAACCTCGTAAGCCTAGCTCTCCAATTTTCAGCCACACCCACATGCCCACGCAATGCACGTGGTCCCCTCCATCTGGTAAAAAAGCACAGACCTCTTGCTGCAAATTGTTGGGCCAAGGCGCCGTTGGGAGTCGCTTGGCCTTGGATCGATGCATTCGGGGAGAGATGCATCCGGAACTTGCGCCCAACAGCAAACCTGGCTGGAACTAGCACCCCAGCAAAAATCGAGATATTGTTTGGGGTCCCCCCGGTTTGTGGAAAACAAAGGGGAGCCCAAAAAGCAAACACAATCAAGAAGAGGAACTGATTCTGGGGAAGAGAATACCACGCTTGCAAAATGGGACCATAAGGCTGTTGCTAAATAATTACTCATCACTCCCCCCCAACAGAATATCATTGCTGCACAATAAGCCCACAGGGTAATTCCTCATCAACCAGTATTCATCCTTTAGCCGCAACAAATGAATTGGAGGTTTGGATCGCTTGGATAGATCCCAAGAGGCGGCATCTGACGCTCTGCTGAGTACCGCGCCTCTCCAGGTGTGCAGCTTTCCGATATCA